CATATGTAGAATAATTTGGAGACATTAATCCCAGAAGTGAGGAATTTAGCATTGTTGAGCTTTATTGTCACCAAAGATACTCATCCTTTGGAAGAAAAAGAACAGAGAGTTTATGATAAAGTTGCAACTTAAAGTGTTAGGTTTGGGTTCCACTATTCTCTGGGGCATTCCACTTGCTAAGATATTTCTCTTTCCCTGAGGAACCTCCAGAGACATCATCATCTTCTGTGCTGTGTGTTATAATCAAAGCATATTACAGGTAATACTGTTAACCCATACATGTTCCAGGATTTCTTAAAATGTTCATTAGCCTTGTAGTCACCCAACACATCTGACTCTTAAACTCTTTCTGCACCCTCTTGTGCAATCACCTCTGAGCCTTAGGAGGAAAGGGTGTGTAATATGTATCTCGGATTTATGGTCGAAAATTGTGAAGTTTCTTATTATTTTTATATCAACCAGTTGTAGGTTTCTGTGTTCACCACTGTCTACTGGGAAAAAAAGCCTTAGGAACTATTGCCAATTGATAGATTCTGGATGAGAGAGAGTCAGTTTTTAGACAATGCTCCAGTGAAGGTTGCACATTCAAAAGTAGATATGTAGCACAAAGTAGACTTGATGGGTGTAAACAAAAATGTAGGATACAAAACTGGATGGGTAGGAGAAGGGGTAGGAGGATGGATATGATCAAAATGCATTTTACAAAACTCTCAAAGAACAAATAAAAAGTGTTCATTAGCCACAAAATTTTTATTTCTCTTTTGTAAGCAGTTTTGTGTTTAAGGAGACTGTTGCCTCTCTCTACTCCAGCCACAATCCAAAATGGTGGTTCCTCACTCTCCTCCTTAAATAACATCACACAAGATTTGAACACACTAGCTGGGTCCTGAAAATTTTCCTTCCATAAAATATTGTGAAAATTGTCCTTAGGTGAAATAATCAAACCCAACCAGCTTAAAAATCAGTTCTAAGTTGTTGAAAAACTCATTCATATTTGCTTCTTGGTTAAGCAATTTTACCTAAGGACACATCAAGAAAAAGATAGAGCAACAAAGTCTATGTCCACTATATCCAAGAAAGAAGAGAAAAAAAAAAACCCTAGTACTGCAAAAGTCCAAAGCAAACCTTAATTATTATTTCCTTAATGATCACTGAGAAGTATATGTGTTCAAATTTTGGACTAGGGTGTGCAGACCATACTGTTTCTGAAGATAGAAATGCAGTGTGGGCCACAAGTACAGGGTTTGGCTTAGAAAGTCCTAGGTTCAAACACAGCATAATGACCAAATTCCACAGCCACTCTGAACGTCCTGTGTTTGTTCACAATACATTCCTATTGGAAGTAGGAGAGGTAATATGATGTGGTGATATGGGTTTGCAGAGACAGAGAGAGAGACAGAGAGACAGAGAGACATAGTCTTAGTATGGCTGTATTTGCATCGGCACCCAATGTGTTGCTTTTAATCTCAGCTCAGGTGCTTTGAACAGTAAATCTATTACAAGGATTCCACAAACCAGTCATTAGACAGAAAATGTAATTAAGCAGTTTAACAATTAGATGATGAGAAAAATGTTAAAAATTAACTGCATTCTTTCATTATTTCAAAGTGAGAAGCTTCTAATTAACCATAGGGAAAATTTTTCCATACTGTGAATATAAACATTTAGGAAAATATAGTGAAACAAAACTTTCATGTTGTTACAACAAAGAAAATTCTGGCTTGAAAAGAATTTCTTAATGACTTCATTTTGATAGTCAGGAATTTGGCTGTAGATTTAAGGAACTTGAGTTACTGAATTCCAATCTGAAGTAGCTGATGATGTGACGTCGAAATACTTGGCAAATGGTTCAAGAGGACCAGTATAGGACAATGGAATAAAGACTCTTGGATGGGTCCCTGGTTCTGCTTCAAGTGAATTCAGAAGAACTTTCATATCTGGACTCAGTATTACATTCATAATGAGCCTGATGTAACCCTCCCAGTTGTTTACTGTCAGTTGTCTATAAAATATTCAAAACAGAAGGTTCTAGAACTGTAGCAATGTCTTTGGAAGCTTCTGTACAGATTGAGTCAAAGTCAGTCTGAAGGCACTTTCATGAGGATCCAGAATGTAGTCACAGAATGGTCAGCAACAAGCATGTTCTCTGATATGACTCCAATCTGTGCTGTATGGAAACAAGATATTTTATGAAATGCAAACATTGCCATGATTCAGTATATAGAGAATTAAATATAATCTATTTAAGCAATCAATACAGTACAGGGAAAGTACACTCATTCCCTTTAGATTTGAAGACTTTGTACAGAAGCAACAGAAGTCTAGTGGCAAGTCTTCCTCAATACCCACAATTACACTATTATTATTTTAATATATGTCATATCTGCAACAATAATAAAGAAGTATCACTCGTTATTTATAACCAACCCATATACAAAATGTAGAAGATTGAACTAAAGTTGTAACATGAATCTTAAAAGTTCTTATTAATAAAATCAAACCCGGGGCCAGTTATTGGGGTGAAATGCTGGATGGTCAGAGAGACAGAACAAGCCACAGCTAACCTCACCTGGCCAACTTCTCAGCTGGTCTTGTTTCCTCAGGCTGGAAGCCTCTGTGTCCTCATATCCGAATGGCTCTCAGCTGAACTGTCCTGCTAGAGGCCTGAAAACTTAACCAGCCAAATGCTTAACCAGCCAAATGCTTCTAGTTTCTGGTCCTCATGCTTATATACCTTTCTCCTTTCTACTACCACTCCCTGGGATTAAAGGCTTGCTTTTTGGGATAAAGGCATGAGTCACCATGCTTAGCTGTATCCTTGAACACATGGATTTCTGCCTCTGGAATGCTAGGATTAAAGGCGTGTGCTACCACTGCCTATCCTCTATGTTTAATATTGGGGCTGCTTTGTCTCTGACCCCAGATAAGTTTATTAGCATGCACAATATTTGGGGGAATACAATACCACATAAAGTGGTAAGTACCGTTACATGAATGGGTTAAAAGAGTGAAAGTTGTTAAAATGGAGTAGAAAGTAAGAAGGAATTAAAGAAAATGTTTATCTTATTTAGTAAGAGTACAAATTTTCTCACTAAGTATTGAAACAAACATATATGGAGATAAATATTTATAAACAAAATGTATTATTTAAAGGTATATAAAGAGCAATATAGTAAAACTTTATAGGAAAGAAACACATTATTGTAAGAACCAGAAATCAATAGATAATATCTAAAATTGAGGATTACAATTACAAAAATTATAATGGCCAACACTATTTAACTCTTTCTTTATGATGAGAACTACTCTACTCTCCTTCCAGGATTAAATTATTTAGCATTGACAATACCCCAATAATATAGGCATCTTTTTCTTTATTATGGAAACAAAATTGTAGTATAGGAATATCGATTTAAACACACACACATGCACACACATATGCACACACATATATATGATGACATGAAAATAGAAAGGAGACTATGGGGACTATGGGGCAAGAGGGTGGGTCCTGAATAGGGGAGAAAGGGGAAAGGGTTATGGGGAAAGGAAATCAAAATATCATTTCTTTTCTGTGATATATGGAGTCTATATTATTCAGAAGAGAACCATTTGATGGAGGACTAGTAGGAGGACAGAGAGGAGTACTAAGGTAAGTGGTTAAGCAAAGAACAACTATGTATAATGTATACAATATCACAATAATGATAAAAGAATTAACAATGAAAATGAATGGGCTCACAAAGGAAGAGAGACACAATAAGATTAGATAAAGTGACTCTAGGCACAGAACTAAAGCACAGAAAAACTGTGAGTTTGGATGTATATAAATTTGGATGCTATAAATTGAAAAATATTGAAGCTTAGTATATTAAATATGATGGTCTTTGAAGTGGAATGGTAAACACTACAGTGGAAAAAAGTTGTTCAAATATTACCTGAATAGATCATATCCTGGAAAATGGTACAATAGTAAGAAGAATATATTGATGTGTGTAATAAGGGATTATTTTACACAAAGAACAGGCTCATCAACTCTACTTCTTTAAGACTTTCATGAAAAGAGTGAGTTACATCGATTTGAGGATAAGGGCAAAAGCTAAGGTCAGTGTGTAGAAAGGAGAGAGAGACAGGATTCAGCTTCAAGGAGAGCATTAACAGGTGGGATTGCCTAAGGATAGGGACACATGATGAATACATGTTGGTAAGGAGGAAAGGAGATTCCTCCCTGTAATGGCATTGGAGCAGAGGTGCAAAGGGATATTTTTTTCCTCCCCAAACCTGAAGATATCTATTTTGTCCTCACAGAAAGTTACAAATGTAAACTAGAATTAATTTGAAGCAGAAAGAGCAACTGAAGAGCCATGTCACACACTTTGGAAATGTCTAAGGAAAATCAGTTAGATTCAACAATGCCTGAAAAATAAATAGGCTCAAAAATACAAACTTAACACCTACTACAGAGAAAAAGACTGGTCTTCTGTAACAAGAATTGCTAAATGGTCTTATTAATAAAAAAAAAACAGAGCCATATATTGAGATGAAAGCTGAAAGATCAGAGAAACAGAACAAGCCAGTCACAGTTCTTACCTCTACCAAATTCTCAGTCTAAAGACAGTGAGTTCCTGTTTCTTCATGCTTTATATACCTTTTTCTGCCCTGCCATCTTACTTCCTGGGATTAAAGGCATGTGTGCTTCCCAAGCAAAGGCATGAGATCTGCTCAAGTGTTGGGATTAAAGGTGTGTGCCACGGCACCTGGCTCTATTCCCAGTGTGGCCTTGAACTCACAGAGATCCGGATGGTCTCTGTCTCCCATGTGGTAGGATTAAGGGTGTGTGCCATCACTGTCTGGCCTCTATGTCTAATATAGCGGCTAACTCTGTCCTCTGATCCTTAGATAAGTTTTATTGGGGTGCACAATATATCACCATAGTCTTCAATCCTGGATTCTTTACAATTCACTCTTATCGTCTGTTGAGTAAACAGTCCTTACTGAATATGACCAATAATAATCTCACCAAAGTAACTGAATTCATTCTTGTGGGCTTTACTGACCATCCAGAGTGGGAGATTCCTCTCTTCCTGGTGTTTTTGAGCTTCTATTTTGTAACAATCCTGGGGAACTTGGGCATGATCATTCTTATCCATGTGGATGTCCAACTTCACACCCCAATGTATTTCTTCCTGAGCCATCTCTCTGTAATGGATGCCTGCTATAGCTCAGTCATAACCCCTCAGATCTTGGCCACACTGGCCACAGGCACAACAATCATTGCCTATGGTCACTGTGCTGCTCAGTTCTTCTTTTTCACCTTCTGTGCAAGTGCAGAGTGTTTTCTGTTGGCAGTGATGGCCTATGATCGCTATGTTGCTATTAGCAATCCTCTGCTCTACACAGTGGCCATGAGTCCTAGAAAACGCTGGAGTTTGGTAGTGGGAGCCTATGTGTGTGGGTTGTCTGGGTCCATTCAAAGAACCACATGTACCTTCTCCCTCTCCTTCTGTGAAGACAATAAGATCAATTTCTTCTTTTGTGACCTCCCACCTCTGCTGAAGTTGGCCTGCAGTGATACAACAAATGCTGAGATTATCATTGTTTTATTTGGGAACTTTGTGATCTTGTTTAATGCCTTGGTCATACTCATTTCCTACCTGCTCATCATCAAGACTGTCATGAAGATGAAGACTTCAGGTGGCAGAAGTAAAACATTCTCTACATGTGTCTCCCACCTCACTGCTGTGACTCTTTTCTTTGGGACCCTCACCTTTATGTATATAAGGAGTGGTTCAGGCAAATCCCTAGAGGAAGATAAAGTTGTGTCTGTCTTCTACACTGTGGTGATTCCCATGCTGAACCCTCTGATCTACAGCTTGAGAAATAAAGACGTTATAGTTGCCTTCAGAAAGGTCACTAATAGACTGCAGATTTCCCAGAGTGTATAGAACCGAGTAAGATGAACCCTCCTCATTGTCAGTTTTGTATGCATATCATTAATATCCTAATATACAGCAGCAATATATGCATGATGTATCTGTGAACAGAGAAAATGTCGGCAAGTTGTTCCAGGCAAGAAGAAAAGATGTCATGCAGATTATAACCAGCAACTGAAGTATTTTCCTCCTTTTTTTTCTGTCACTGCCTCCTGCTGTTCTCTGATACCATCACTTAGAGAAGCTCTAAGGGATCTTGTGATTTTTTACTCTAAATTCTGGTATACTTTCCATATTGTCTTTGCTGCTGTCCATATTACTGTTTTGGTTGTGTCAAATATTACATTTAGGACTTCTGCGAATTGAGTTATTTGGCTTTTTTTGTTTCCTTTTTCATATGTAAGGTATATAATACAGGCTTCTTCCTTCAACATTGCAATGTTTGTCTTTTTGCTGGGGCTAGAATAAAAGAGCCGTCAAATTGTCTTGATAACTCACTTCTTTTCTTCTTTATTGATTTGTTGATGACTTTGGAATGAACTAAGCTACCTCACCTATGGGAAGGTGTCTACAAGAGTCAATTCTGGCTTCAGAAGGACAATGCCTTAATACTCCTCCTCACCCTATAGCTTACCTTGTTGGAAGCTCTCATCCAAATATCTTGTTTGTAGGGTTAGCAATGTAAGAGAGCAGAGAAACAGATGGTTACATCACTCATTCCCTTCTTTACAGTAGGGATGACCTATGAATACAACAGCTCCTGCACCAGGCTGTTAAACTTCAGAGGCTTTTCTTTGTTTCCTTATTTTCCATGTCAAAAGTCAGATGAGCTCTCAGCAATTGCATTTGAAATAATTTTCTGTCACATGCAAAGTTCTATTTGCATTTCATTTTAACTTCAAAGGCAAATGTGAAGGTGTTGTCACGTGTGAAATTTCCATTTAGAAACAAAAAAACCTTTCCTTCAGACCTAGGGTACTCACAATATACAGCAGTAGAAAAGGCATGGGGTGATTTCAATCTAAATCTTATTTTGCCTCTAGTTAATTGTGAGAATTTGGGTAAATATTTCACTCTCTCAGGTCTAAAATATGTACAGCAATTGTTAATTTAAATATAGTATAATAGTTGACTAAGATGATAGTAATTTCCTAGCATAAGTCAAATGTCAGTATAGATTGATCTCTTTCTTTGCATTCTTTAACTCTCTGATACCAGCTCTATACTCTTACTACAATTTCATGGTCATTGACAAATTCATTATTGATATGAACCAATGATAAAGGCAATGGACAGAGGAAAATGAATCAATCAAACAAATTTTCATGTTTATCTGGAGAAATATATTTATTACACCTCATATAATCAAAGGTAACAGAAGAACACCTTAAGTTTTCTTTTGCTTTATTTTTTTCACTTTATGTGTTTGGGCGTTTTGTCTGTATGTATGTCTGTGCACCAGCTTTGTGCAGTATCCACAGGAGGTCAAAAGAGGGCATAAAATCACCTGGGACTGGAGTTACAGTTGGCTGTGAGCTGTCTTAGGTGCTGGAAACTGAACCTAAGTCCTCTGGAGGAGCTGCCATCCCTTAACTGTGGATTCATCTCTTCATCTCCAAAGACATCTCTTTTACTAAGCATATTGCTTTGTGTCACTGAACTCTTACACCTGATGGCCATTTTTGAGACAATGATCTTTTCCCTCCATGTGGAAATAACCATTAAATTAGAATGGATGACTAAAACACTTTCTGTTGATTGATTTTGTGTTAATCATCTGTGCATGTTGAACTTATAAAGCTTTGCAATATCTTTTGTGAATGCAGAAACATGAAAGAGAGTCAGACTAGGAAAAGAGTTGACTCAGACACAGAGTATGTAAATAACTACTAGAATTATGGAGAGTTATAGAGAGATGCTCAATTTTAGTAATAAACAGGAATTTCATATTTAAAACTCAAATATACTGACTGGTTTTGTAAAAATTAAAAAGCACTATGGCTTTATCCAACCTTGGTCTCAACAATTCTCGCTCATATAAACCCTCCTCATTCTCGTTGATTGGACTCCCAGAGATCCACCCAGGGCCTAGTCATGGATCTCTGCATCCAGATCCCTCAGTAGTTGGATGAGGTTTCTAGCACAACAATTAGGGTGTTTGGCCATCCCATCACCAGAGTAGGTCAGTTCGGGCTGTCTCTCGACCATTGCCGGCAGTCTGTTGTGTGGGTATCTTTGTGGATTTCTGTGGGCCTCTCTAGCACTTTGCTTCTTCCTGTTCTCATGTGGTCTTCATTTACCATGGTCTCCTATTCCTTGTTCTCCCTCTCTGTTGTTGATCCAGCTGGGATCTCCCGCTCCCCCAAGCTCTCTTTCCCTCGACCCTCGCCTTTCATTACCCCCACTCATGTCCAGGCTGTTCATGTAGATCTCATTCCATTTCTCTGTCATTGGGCGATCCCTGTGTCTTTCTTGGGGTCCTGTTTTCCGGGTAGCCTCCCTGGTGATGTGAGTAGCAGACAATTCATCCTTGTTTCATGTCTAGTATCCTGCTATGAGTGAGTACATACCATGTTTGTCTTTCTGAGTCTGGGTTACCTCACTCAGGATGATTTTTTCTAGATCCATCCATTTGTCTGCAAACCTCATGATGCCATTGTTTTTTTCTGCTGAGTAGTATTCCATTGTGTATATGTACCACATTTTGTTTATCCATTCTTCAGTTGAAGGGCATCTGGGTTGTTTCCATGTTCTGGCTATTACAAACAATGCTGATATGAACATAGCTGAACAAGTGCTCTTATGGTGTGGTTGAGCATTTCTTGGGTATATGCCCAAGAGTGGTATAGCTGGATCTTGGGGGAGATTGATTCCCAATTTTCTAAGAAAGCGCCATATTGATTTCCAAAGTGGTTGTACAAGGTTGCATTCCCACCAGCAGTGGAGGAGAGTTCCCCTAGCTCCACATCCTCTCCAGCATAAGGTGTCTTCAGTGTTTTTGATCTTAGCCATTCTGACAGGCGTAAGGTGGTATCTCAGAGTTGTTTTGATTTGCATTTCCCTGATGATTAGGGATGATGAGCAATTCCTTAAATGTCTTTCGGCCATTTGAGTTTCCTCTGTTGAGAATTCTCTGTTTAGTTCTATAGCCCATTTCTTAATTGGACTGTTGGGCATTTTGATGTCTAATTTCTTGAGTTCCGCACAGGGACAAATAGCCAAATGAATGGAAACACATGAACTATGAACCAATGGCTGAGGGGTCCCCACTGGATCAGGCCCTCTGAATGGGTGAGACAGTTGATTGGCTTGATCTGTTTGGGAGGCATCCAGGCAGTGGGACCAGATCTTGTGCTCATTGCATGAGTTGGCTGTTTGAAACCTGGGGCCTATGCAGGATTGTTTGGCTCGGCCTGGGAGGAGGGGACTAGACCTACCTGGACTGAGTCTACCAGGTTGACCTCAGTCTGTGGGGAAGGCTTTGCCCTGGAGGAGATGGGAATGGGGGGGGGGGGGCGTTGGGGGGAAGGTGAGGGGGACGGGAGGGGGGAGAACAAGGGAATCCGTGACTGATATGTAGAACTGAATTGTATTGCAAAATAAATTAAAATAAATTAAAAAAAAAAAAACAAAACAAAAAAAAAAAAAAACCTTCCCTCCCATGTTCTAATGTCTTTGAGAAGGAAAGATACTCTTCAGGCTGCCTAAGGAGAAATATAAACACCAAACCAACAGATTTGAAGTATGAATATATACTGGATATAAATCTTTGGTGATATGATGCTAATATATTCCTCCTACTCTTTAATGTATGTTTTATTTTGACATTAAGCATGTAAAAATGTTAATGAATTGATTTTTCTTTTATATCTTATTTAATAAATCTTATTTTCAAAATTTTGAAAAAAAAAAAAAAAAGTGTTGTATGGCAAATTCTATAGTGATTTGTATAACACAACACCACATGTAATTGAGGTGATAGATCTATTCATTAACTAGTCTAATAATTCCTTGTTGTAAACATAAATAAAAATAAAATCATATCCTATAATTATAATGAATTAATATTTGTCAATTAAAAATAAATTTAAAGAGTAAAACTTTTAAAAAAAAAAAAAAAAAAAAAAAAAAGCACTATGGCCTCATATTAGCAAGGATATGTATAATGGTAAGTACAGATTGATTTAATGACTATATAAATAGTTTGACATTTTCACATAAAAACCAAAAACAACAGTAACACAGCTAAGACAGTGACCTGGCTATGGACTAAGAAAGAACTCTTGCTCAGGAGCATTAAGGTACAAGAAATGTCTTTCTAGAATGTTGGTGTAGGAGCTCAACACTCAGAACATTTTACCTCCATGTTCATTCTTCCATTCCTGAGTGTGCATACTTTGGCTGGAACCAGATATCATTTCAGAATATAAAGAGACACTGAAGAATTAAGCAATGCATAGATGGCCCTAAAGCGGAAAATGGTAGCTATTTAAAAGATAGCCTCTTTTGACTCGATGTAGGCACTTAGAGCTACACACACCTTTCTTATGACTGCTTTTATTTCACACTGTAGCTTTTGGTATGCTATATTTTTACTCAATTCTAGGATTTTTTAAGTTTAATTTTTTATGTCTTCAACCATCATTTTATCATTTAATAGTATATTGTCTAATTATAAGTTTCTGTATATCCTATGGTCTCATATATGCCTGATTTATAGCTTTATTTCACCATTGTGATCATACAGAATACAAATATTTCAGTATTTTACTTTATTTGTCAGATTGTGTTTGAATCCTACTAAATAAGTGATCTACCTAAAGAAAGATCCATGGGCTTCTGAGAAGAATCTGAATTTTAGTGTTTTAATGGGATGGTCTGAAAAATGTCTATTAAGTCCATTTTATATACAGTGTCATTTAATTAAGATATTTCTATTTAGTGTGTGTGTGTGTGTGTGTGTGTGTGTGTGTGTATGTGTGTGTGTGTGTATGTGTTGATCTGTCAATTTA